TCAAAATAGACATTTTCACCCTCTATTTTGGAAAAAAATTCGTCAAAATCACGATATTGAATGGCACAGTTGCCGTTCGATGAACTCTTGGACTATTAGGCCGATTTCAGCTAAGCAATATTGAATTTACATATCTGACAGGCGAGTTCGTGCCTCACATGCATCAGAATAGAGAACGACTCCGGAAAAGAGCCGTGATCTGGAGCTGTCAGGCTTGCCAGAGAAACTTGTCACATTACATATCTAGCTTGAAATTGCTCATCCACTTCCAGTAATGAAGTTCAAAATCCGGAATGGGTTCCTTTGCAGAATGCAAGTAGATTTTCAACTATAAAAAATGCTGCTTGTTTTCGTTATACTCTTTCACCAACTCACTTGGAAATTAGAAGCATGAATGTATCATGTGTGTATAGGTATGCATGGATGTGTGAAATTGGAATACTCTGATGCATTGCATACCTATTCGTAGGACCAATTTTCGTTCAACCAGCAACGCGGTATTATTAATTCTGTTTGATATTGCGAAAATGTATATACACATAACGAATGGAACATGGTTGACGGATATTTCCAGGAAGTCGGAAAGTTCAAAATATATATTTCTGAGAGATAACTTTTTGATACAATTACGTGATGAATTCGTGGAAAGTTCAACTCCACATGAAACAGAGTGCAAAGTTTCCTTTCATATAAGTATAATGAAAGAGACATGTGTAGGCCAGAAATCCATGAATGCGAGACTTTTGGTGAACTTTGCCAGTGAGTCATATGCTACATTTCGAAGTTTTTAATCCATTTGGAAGAGTTTATACGTTCATCTTTATGCTTCTAGCCAGGTGTGAGATAGTTTTCTCATTCAGGAATTTCACAATAATCATTATAGATACGTTATAGTGGTTTTGAAGTTAAAACAATTACTGTTTTTTCATCACATCCTCATGACATTACAAAGATTCAATACTTACTATTCAAAATATGTATGTATATGTATATGTAGAATGGTGAAAAGTATTTGTATTGGATTGGGATGAATAAGCGCCCTTACCCAAGCGTTACCTCGTGATATTTCACATGCAAAAATAAATGTTGGGCCATCAGTGCTGCTTGCCTCATTGCTGCTGTTACTACGAAATAATAAAAATAAAAACACTAAAATCGAATACATACGAGAAAATATTGATTCGTAAGTAGCCTGGGCATTCTATTACGAAACACACCGAACGTAGCTGTCAACCTTTGTCGTTTTTTTTCCTACTCGTCAATCTATTGGTCATGTGATTATGTGGTGAGAAATATACTACACCTTTTACAGTTGTATTTCAGAAATCGTCGATTCAATTCCAGAGAGCGTCAATTGTATTTCAGAATAGTCACATGTATTTCAGAAAGTATCAATACACTGAGACAAGAAATGGAAATTTTTATAACTAAAAATAATGGTGGTTTCGAATTAGTTTCATCAAATACAACACATATTCGTGATATCACTCATTTGAGTGATCAATACTTAGACAAACCTATTGCATACCACCTCCGAATATTAATAGTTCAAATTATTATTCACCACTAATTTCCGAACGAAAAATGTTCGGAAATTAGAACATAAAATGTGTTTTTCTGTAGAGGACGACAAAAATTGATTTCAATAAATCAATGTGTTTGAGTCGATCAGAAACCCAGATTCCACTCAAATATGAAAAGTATAACGATGGAAAAGATGTCGAATCCGGGAACGCGAAAACCTCATGGAAATGGAAAACGACACTGCCAATTTCCCGAGGAGGATATCGGAAGCGTAAAATTGGACAGTTGCCGGGTATACCATTATCAGCTCTTTGTATTCAAATATCGAATGTTTATAAAAACAACCATCTTACAGATTTCAGACAGAAGATTCTGTTTCTGAATAGGACTCGATAGCGTTGGGTTGGGAGAAACAAGCTTTCAGAAGGGCCATTGATGGAAATATATTCTGAATTGAATGTCCTAAAGTGCTCAGATATCGAGCGTGGATGATATTGGGGGAAGGAGTAATTTTATGCTTATTTCGGGAGGCAGTTGATGTGATTTGATAGAAATTCCACAAAATGGGGATATTATGGGTGATGTCTGAAAGAACAGACAACCTATATAAGGAAATATAAGGGGTGTCATGAAATCACTCCTGAGCAATTGAATCTAGTGAGATATTTTTTTCTGACTATATTTGAAATAATTATTCAAAGTCAATTAATTCTATTCATACAATGTGTCTCAGAACAACGTATTATAAATGCAACTGGGTGAACAAGAGATCAGAATAGTCCGATTGAAACCAACTTACCCCTATACGAAAATGCATCGTTGAGCCGTGAAAGACCACTGAAGAATATTTTTATTTCTAGATTTTCTTGAGTATTGCAAAATCTTTGAAGGGTACTGCTTCAAAATTCGTAGGGCCTTTTACTAACGTTGTGTATGAACAACATGTCATACGAACCGAATCAATGTACAAAGGAATATAGATAATTCACATTATCTTTGATGAAGATTGTATAGATTGTAGATGGGCGGCTGGGAGATCACTGCGACCTAGAAGATCTATGTTGATTACCCTTATCTAATCTTGATCCTCTAACCCTAGACTTCTGATTGCATTTTCCACCTCAGCATGTGTGAGATAGACCTGTCCTAGGTGATTCAGCCTTTGGCGGAATGATACTTTACATGAGCAAAGTATGTGTTCCGCGGTTTCGGTCCCATTGTTGCAAAAAGCAGCAAGTGTCAGTCTCCGCCAGGCCAATCTATTCGAAGTGGTACCTCAGAGGACAGTTTCCTGTGAGAAAGCCTGTGATATGCTTTAGTTCTGGTTTGCTGAGGCTGAGTAGCTCTTTGGCTCTGTTCTGCGAATGGTTGATGAACCTTTTCGCTTGCCGTTGACCTCGAGTTGCTCTCCAGTAGGAGGACTTTTCAATTCCTTCTCATTTCCTGAGTTCTCCCTTTAGGTAACATTCGCCTATCCCACAAAACCGCTCAGGACTAAAGAGTGCAGATGCTGCACTTTTCTTTGCAAGGCGTTCAGCTGCCTCATTTCCTTTCATTCCTTTATGCCCTGGAACCCACATAAGTGTGATCCCTTCCCAATTGCATGAATGTTTCAAAGCAGTGCCATGTAATCGTTGATGTGAATACAAAAGATTTTAGGACTTTTAGTGCGGCTTGGCTGTCTGAGCAGATATATATGTTGGCACCCATCAGTCCTTTGCTCATACACCTTTGGGCGCATAGTATTCCCAATAACATATAATCCAGAAGTTAAAAAAATTCCAATACCTTCCTCCTGTCCCTATCCTCCCTAGGAACGAACGATGTTCTTTGAACATTATAGGGATGTCCTTTCGTGCGCTCCAAGCGATAAAAAAAAAGATTGATACAAATTTTTTGGAGTACGCCACTGGCCACTTTCTGATATTCCAATGAGAGACGAAATCAATTATGTAACTTTCTTGTAACTACAGTTTTCATAATATCCCTTGGTTTTCAAGTATCTAACGTAATTTTTTCTTGGTGCTCCTCCGTACTTGTTGATGCTGTGCCAGGATTATACAACAATAATCATGTATATATGAACTACTTCAGCATATAATAAGGCTATTGGTCATCTTCAAATTCGATTTTTATTAGGTATTGAATACATTTTTTTTTTTCGCGAGAAAAAATGAAAGAGATTTAGAAATGACCATATCATGTGATGATCAGCTTGCGGAATGTTGAACATGAATATTGTGGTGAATAACTCAACACACATCATGAGGAGGAAGATTACAAAATATGGAAGGTGATTGTGACAATATAAACAAGTATGGAAAAGCTCCAGAATGAATTTCGTAAGATATCTCGAAAATGTGTGTTTTTTCTATCAAGGTACTTTGCTACATTTCATGAACTTCTAGTAAATGAAGACATAGTCACCTCTGATATAATGAACGCGAATTTACTGTTCTGATGCGAGATTCGCAGAAATGCCACTCGAATCTAGTAGGAATTCATCAATAACGACTTTTCATGGTCATGACTACAAGATTTCAATCAGAATCGAGAAGAAGTGACTATAGTGACAATACTTAGTCCATATTTTAGATTGAATTATTATATTGCTAGTGATGAAAACAATTCAATATAGGTAAAGATTATCATTACCACGGTACCTGTGTATTGATTGAATTGGTATGATTTTGCATGCACATTCATAATAGTAAATTGCCCTATGAATTCCAGAGCACTACCTTTCATCAAAGATTTTGAAATATTCGAGAACATCTGGAAATAAAATTATTCCCCATTGCCCTCTCACGGCCCAACGGTGCATGCATTTTCGTATAGGGGTTAGTTGATTTGAATCGGTCTATTTAGGTATGTATCTAGTCCACCTTGTATAATTTATGGTACGTTGTTATGAGCCACCTTGTATACTACTTCGATCACATACTGCATGAACTTGGAATGAATAATTGCCAAAAGCAGAAAGAATATCTGACGAAAATATAATTTAGAGGTGGTATCACCTCGAATTTGACCCAGTTCCACATTTCTGACAAAATTTTCGATAGAAGTGTAAGCACGACTTAATGTATTTATTGAGACAATTTCACAACCTATACGAAACATCCATTTTTATGTCCAATCGGATCCAGTGGAAGGAGCAGCATTCTATCGAGGCACAGCATTCTGATTGGTTCTTATATCGCAAGAGATGACTCTTTCATATACGTCGTGGAATTGTCCTACTGTCATGTCATTCTTAATGTTCGTTCTTTGCTATCTTGAGATGTTAGTGTCGCTATTTTTGTCGCTGATTTATTGTTTTGTCGCTGTTTTGTTACTGTTCTGTTCGTCTGTAACCATTATTTCAGATTGTCTGTCATTGTTTTATGGTCTACTCAAAGTTTTATCGTCTCGCCATAATCATTGATTCTCACGTTTCCCAGGCTACTTACTCCTCAACATCCCCCGTAAAACACTCATGCCCTTAAGACACTCGCCCTCAGAACGCTTTTCGGCAGGTTCCTGTCGTCTTCTTCCGTGATTTGGGTCCTGTAAGTCGGTCGCTCGAATACGGGGGGATTATCGTTGACGTCTTTAACGTGGATCACCACCGTAGTGTAATTCTCTTTGAGATTGTCTGACGCTGCTAGACGCAGTTCGTACTGCGAAACGAAATTTAACCAGCTTATAATAAATTCAGATGATATTGTGCAGGAAATTGGTATTTTACACTGAAATTCGAGAGGCGGTTGAAGGACAAATGTGCTAAAATAGATATGTATAAATTGCTCCACACCCCACATTTGAAGTGAGACGAGCAAAAAGTTCTATCATTTCCGAATCATTATAACTTTGGACGGTATCATCCAGATTTCAATTTCTTTCAAGATTCTAATAGCTCATTCCATTAATTACAACCCAGTATTTTTTCGGCATTCCAATTTTTCGAAATAATGACCTATTGGGTGATATCTGAGAATGTGATGATTTTCAAAAAGTTTGAGTTCGTCCCGTTTGGCAGGAGATTTTCAAATTTTTTTTGAGGGCACGATGAAGCATGATGAGTTTCGTAGAAATGGTTTTGGATTCGAGAAGATTCATCTCGGGATTCATACAGGGTGTCTTGAAATACGAAATTGTTTACAATGAATTGCATTCTGATATGTTTAACCACCATAAACACAACTTCAATAAAATTTCAGATCGGCATATCCTCAACGCAATCACTGTACATAATATGTGGTACATCTTCAAATCAAATAATACGAATAAAATGCATATAATTATTGACACAATATGACAAAATAATAAAATCGCATTGTTTTATAAAGACAAGTACAATAATTATCAATTGTCAATATTTTGTTGAATCACCTCTTCCAGCATCTACGAGGGCGCTTATTCTTCTTGGCATATCGGTAATCTTACTATTGCAAAAATCGTGGGGAATAGTACGAAGCCCTGGAAGGGACACATAAAATAAAAAAAAAATAAAACTTCTAAAGTCTGAGTTATAACTCGGAATTTTAAAATTCCGACTTGTATCTCGGAATTTTACATTCAAAATTCTGAGTTATAACTCAGAATTTTAAAATTCCGAGATATAAGTCGGAATTTTGATGTGAAATTCCGAGTTATAAGTCGGAATTTTGAAATTCCGAGTTAAAACTCAGAATTTTAAAGTTGAATTTTTTTATTTTACGTGTCCCTTCCAGGCCTTCGTAGAATAATGATCCACTCCTTCAATATCACGTTCTCTAATTGGTCAAGATTCATCATTTGACCTTCCCTCCTCTTCAGATTCAACTTCAATCTAATCTATACGTGTTCTACCGGATTCATGTCAGGAGACAAGGGTGGCACGATGTGTCACAGACGTTTTGGGTAACTAGAACAACTTAAATTTTCCAGATTTTCTGGGATTTTCTTCCCAAACACACATGTCCCGATACCAATCAGCATTTATACTCTCTCTCAAATTAACCAACGTGCGCTTCGAAAATCTATCATGATAACGCCCCATGTCATTAAAAATATTGTTATTTGTATTTTTGTCGTAGTATTTCCATTTATTTCTACATTCTTCAAGTTCAAAAAATTAGAGTGAAAACACTGAAGATATGCCAATCAGAAAGTCTGTTGAAGTTTAGTTAATGATGGTTGAACATATCACAATTCAATATGTTGTGACACATTCTTCTTACCAAAACATAATGTATGGATCCTCCTGGAATTGGAACCATTTGAAGGAAACTCTAAATGCTTCATCTCATTTCCCTCAATACAATATTTTGAAAGAATCTCTGTGAAACGGGGCGATCTTGAACTTTTCGGTAATTATCATATTTTCAGATATCACCCTGTAGGTCGTCATTTAGATACGGTGGATTGACAAAAAAATATGATGTTGTAGCTAATGGAATGAGCTATTCGAATTATGAAAGAAATTGGAAATTAGTTGATCCAAAGCAAAGTTATGACGGTTCGAAATTGGAAGAAATGTGTGCTCATTTCACTTCAATTGTGGGGCAGTTTATATGACACATCTTCCGAAAAAGTTGTCCTCATTTTCTGAATTGTTTTGTTGCATCTTGTGTATGCGGCAATGATCTTAGGTTGTGGACCTTATCTAGTTTAAATAAACTCAAATCATGTTTCAGGCCATCATAGGACTCGAGTAATCGGATTCTGACGCAGTTTTGCATCACCCTATACCAATATAAATGAATTGAAATAAATCATTTGTTGGTTTTCGAACTTTCAACCGAGGTTGATGAACTAGACAGGTAAGTTACTCCATAAATTCATCAATCTAACTAATCGTGACGTCATCGTACCTTTCGCTTCATCTGACATGAGCTTGTACTTGATTTTTTGTGAAATATAAACAAGGACGGATCCAGGAACATGTAGGTATTTTGAATTTCACCTCAGAAGGTACCAATAACAATTCATCTTTATTGCTAACCATAATGAGACGTGACTCAAAAATCGTCTGGTTCCGCCACTGAATATCCTACTAAATATCCTCTGTGAAGTTGAAGATTCTGATATGTAGCGATATTTTCATTTTGGATTCATCATTAGTGAAAATGACGGTATTGCATCCCATATTTAGGAAAAACATATGATATCAAAATGAACAGTCGTCTTCAGCGAACATGTCGCAGTTAGACGGTATGAGCGCTCTTATTGCAGCAGTGATGAAGGGAGCTGACACCGTCCATGTGCGACATGATCTCTGAAGACGACTGTACTTGAAGTGTATGTCTGAACAATATCTATCTACATATTTATATAAGATAAAATTATACCTACCATTCGTATTCATAATGCGACATTCCATTCTGTCTAATAACGGATATAGTGATGTAGAGGGAAAATTGAGTGCAAATTTCGAGATATGAATCAATGATCAATACAGTGAACGAACAGATCAAAGTAACATACATCGAAGCCTCGAAGCGATTCAATGAGGATCCTCGATTAATTATTTTGCCTAAAATCTGCCCCTATTGTCTTCAGAGTCGAATATGCCATTCTGTGTGCGAACTTTGTAATTATCGAGCCAAAGTCATACCCTAACCTCCATGAAATTGCTGATTCCATCTACTACTGGAATATAATCGTATACGATTGTACTTATACATCATAAAATTTGTATGATTCTGATGGAGCAATCATTTGTGATTCATCCTAATATATTGGGAGCAAATTTATTGAGAATGTTAGTATTATTCCTCTCGAGACAAAAGGGGCTATCCGTGATGACATATTATTATCAGACATATATCATGATCATGTCTTGGCTGATCAAGAGGTGATGAAAGAATGAATTACAGATATTGATGAAAGTTAACGGAGAAGAGTATATCTGATTCAACAACCTGCTTTGATGATAAATTAATGAATAGGTAAGAGAAAAGGAGAATAAGTATATTGACCATGCTGGCAGATGCTATATGATATGATTTATAGTACAATATTGAAAGGTCTATATAAAAATCAGAAATAATGGAATGTCAACAGGATGTGTGTATATTGGTATTGTTCACAAAATCACAACATCAAAAGACATAAAGCTTCATAAATGATAATTTGTTTAAAACTCCGTTCGATTCTAGATTATTGAGCAGGCGTTCTAATTCTATTTTTCACATCGCATAACTTTTTGAAAGCTAATTCTTTAACTCGACATATCATCATCATCAATAATCATCATATAGAAATATTTGATATTTTATTCCAGGCATAAATGCTGAAGAACAAATCAGTAACTATACTTATAACCAGCTATATTATAACAATATATAGGTACTAATGAGCAAACAATTTTACTCCGAAGTAAAATTCATCATACGATCGATATTCAAATTCATTATGTATCGAAATTGATGAGGAGATATCGTGCCTATATAATTGAATCACGAAAAAATATAATATTTTTTGTGACGGAAAAAAGTTTGAAATTTCATCATTGTTGACTAGTTTTAAAATATCACTTTTCATAAATTCCTTTTTTTCCACGGGAAGAAAGTAAGTACTATGTAATATCTTCTCCATGTCACAGAAAAAAATAGTGTACACGGGAAAAATATCAGATGTTTGCTCACTCAACCTGGAGCTAGAAACTTTTTTCCTTGTATAATAAATTACTATTTTTCTTGACTCTATAACATACAGACAGAATGTTGATGTTGGTTGCATTGTCATTTATATACGTTCACAGCATCTGATGGATTCCGAATACCTATACAACCTACAAATCATCTGGGGTTCGTCCGAAATCCTATTAATTAGAATTCGATATTGATGGTTCGACGCGACGATTCAGAAATTAGGCGATGTTCAAACACATTAGTCAGATATGAAGATTGATTTATGGAAATAGGTTGATATATTGGGAAACTCGCTTGTTTACCACACAACATGAACATCACCGATACAAAAGATGCATCAAAACTATTAGTTTATATTATAAACTGGTTAAAATGGACCTATAGTGTATAGCTATAATTCCTTAAATCGTAATTTCGAAACTGAACAGCATCATTGAAGAATATAAACTAGACATTCACATGATATACTTCATTTATACCAACATTTCCGAATGCATTTATCCTAATCCCTAATTTTTAAGCTATTGTATTTCCTATTTTTATATGGCTACTACACCACTAATTTTTTTGCCGCATTGCACGCCAAATCCATCTATTCAGTAAATTTTTCATGTTTCTCCAATAACTGTAACAAATCGACCAAAAGTTCTGGAATAACATATTGTTTGATATCCTCTACAGGATTGAAATGGAGAAATGTTTTGGATAACAAGAATATCTTTACTACTACTCAGGTTTCAAAACTGTGATCTAGATTTATTATTTTCTACCTCGGCTGATGGTGGACACCCTAGTTGTTCGAAACATGTTCGCATTTTAATCATGCATGAAAAAGATATTGAACGTTATGCAGATTACTCAGAGTGTTTTTATACATTAAGACTGAAATTAGTGAAATTCATTGTATTTTATATGTAATATTGACACATTATTATTAATATTGTGAAAACACTCGCTGTTATGTGAACAAACTATTGGTACACAGACATATTGAAGAAATTTATAGTGTATATATCACCATGGAAATGTGAAATGAACTGTTTTTAACTTGGTGATATATGACTTTTCAAATTTTCAGATAATCAGTTTCGATTTTTCTACTGATATCTACCAATTTCATCATGGATTATCATTGATATTATTGATATCATCGAATACACAATAACGAGACGAATATTAATCATTTATAACTATTAAATATGGATGTCAGTTGAAATCTGCGGTTATATTCGATTACATGAATATTATTCGGAAAACATCGACAAACAAGTTCAGAATTAAAAGTTGAACAATGATATGGAATCCTCCAAATTGAAAATAAACCCTGTAACGTTCAATAGCAAACAGAATCATTGGGAAATGAATTGTGGTGTATCAATAATATCCAGGTTTGGAGTTACAAAATTCGAAGAACATAATTCGAGTCAGCAGATCCGGTGTTTCACCGTGATTTATAGTTCATCCAGCAAAATATACATTTTGTTCTGGATCTGTTTTCTCTCTGGTAGGTATACACTGTGTCCTACTTACCATGCTCACCATGGGTATCTTTTTAACGGTGGGAGATACGAGGTCGGTTGAATGACACCAAATGTGGAGTTTGTCAAGGCCAACTATAATGTGAGAAAATATTCCGATAAAATCTATTCGTTTTTGTTTTATACCCAAAAAACAGATTTCGATCATTTTCATGTCTCCTCCGTAACTTCTTCATTTATGAAGATATTCAAATAGGAATTTCACATTCACATATGGCAGTTTTTCAAATTGATTTCGAACAAAATATGAAATTTATACCAAATTTTCTAGAATTTGAGATATCAGCACCAACTTTAGTTTTTCAAATGTAGGTCATAGCTCACTATGACTTAGTTACAAATAACTTTTTTTTCTCTTACAGATGATATGTCGCAGTAATAGTTTTGTGTTGATAACAACAGAGTTATCGTCATTTATACAAAAACAAAAAATTATTTGGAAGCCGCCATCTTGAATTCATGAATTTTAACATAAAAATCATGATCTTCGACCTCAAAAACCCCCACTTACCAATTTTGAATGGAATCGGACCAAATCTTGTCCGCCATCTTGGAGCAGCCATTTTTTTTTAATTTCAACAAAAATTCCATAATGTATTGTCATTCAAAATTGGTAAGTGGGGGTTTTTGAGAACGGAGATCATGTCTTTTTTTGTTAAAATTTATAAATTCAAGATGGCGGCTTCCAAATAATTTTATGTTTTTGTATAAATGACGATAACTCCGTTGTTATCAACACAAAAGTATTACTGCGACATATCATCTGTGGGAGAAAAAAAGTTATTTGTAACTGAGTCATAGTGAGCTATGACCTACATTTGAAAAACTAAAGTTGGTGCTGATATCTCCAATTCTAGAAGAGTTGGTATGAATTTCATATTTTTTTCGAAATCACTGTGAAAAATTGCCATGAGAATATGAAATTCCTATTTGAATATTTTCATAAATAAAGAAGTTACGGAGGAGACATGAAAATGATCAAAATCTGTTTTTTGCGTATAAAACAAAAACGAATAGATTTTATCGAAATATTTTTTCACATTATAGTTGGCCTTGACAAACTTCACATTTGGTGTCATTTAACCGACCTCGCATGTCTCACCGCTAAAAAGATACCCATGGTGAGCATGGTAAGTGGTACACACTGTATAATACACTGACCGGCAAAAAACCGACCATCAAAATATTTGCCCAAATTGTTTGCCCTGTAACTTTTTCAATACTTGTCCGATTTTTGTGAAATTCTGATCGAATCGTAGATTCATGTTCCGGAATGTTAGTCTATACAGGACGTAATTCAATTGATGGCTATAAATATAGGATATGGTTTCTAAGCTCATTTTGAGGGAAAAAGTTCATGTGAACATATGCCCTAAACCTCCTATCTTTTGAGCTGAAAGATGTTGAAATTTTGAGGAAAAAATTCGATTTCTCATCATAACTTCAATAAACTGTAGATATTTTCATTAAAATTTACATGCACCTACTAAGCACTATGTGGTACTTCGTAAGTAAGATGTGTTTGTGTCTAATTTTCATCCAAGTAAAGTCAATTGATTGAATAAGCCAAAATGGTTTTTATGTTTTCACGTGAAAACGGTGCGTCTGACTGCAAAAATTCAAAGAGACAAATTGTTGCAAAATGATTGAGGCTTCTAAAAAAGATTTTCATTTTTGGAAAAAGCAAGGGCGTATCATATTTCTGAAAAATCTCCAGTGTACATCCTATTCGGATACTACTGGTGAAAATATTGAAAAATCTCCTGCATCGAAGCGCATGACTTGACCATTATACAGGGAAAAACTAAAGTTACTCGATCTCTCTCAACTTCTCAACTTCCTGTGGCGAAATTGAGTAATTGAACGTAGATTCAAGGTACTTTGGAAAAAAGTGTTATCCTTTCTTTACACAATTAGTTTCAATTCACGTCAATATCTTATTTTCAAAAGAAGATACGGGTATTTTCAATTCCCATCAGCAATAAACATAATCTTCATAAACTTTTTGATTAACAACTGGAAAAATTATTATTACTCATTTCTACCTCATTTTCTGAGCCCTCACCGGAAAAAACCGCCGTGGCATCGAATTGATCAAATTTCTTCAAGTAGTCATGAGGAATTGCCTAAAATTTTCCTTTACGAGCGAATCATAGCTTTAGAAGAGTCTATGACAAGGCCGGACGAATGCCAATAAGCCTCTAGAGTTCATCCACAAGATGCTTTATTGGTTCTGAATCATTGTAAATAAAAAAAAAATACTCTTAGAACACCTGTATCTTTTCTTAAAAAGTAGTTATCGACGTGAATCGAAAACCATTGTGTCAAGAAGGGATCACACTTGAATTTGAAATATGATGAGCTGAGTTTATTGACTCACCTTTGCCACAGGGTGTTGAGAAGTTAGGAGTGAAAGAGTAAGTTTTGTGTTTTCCATATCCAGGAACATGAATATACGATTCGGTCAAGATTTCACCAGAATCGGACAAGAATTACAGGGCGAACGACTTGCGTGTACCTATTCAATACATAAACAAATGATAATATTTGAAAACGAATGAGATAAATATAAGGATGTATCAGGAGAAAAGATCAATTTTATATCTTCTTTGACTAGTTGAAATTTTGAAAACGAAATAGGGCTGACTAATTTGAAATGAACCAAGCTTTCCATCGAACGGAATATCATGTTATTTTGAAAAATGAGAGTAGACATAACTTCATGAAAAGTGGGCCATCATTGTCATCGAAATTTTGAGTAATTGAAAATCCTTCAATAAATATATCACTGTATCTTTGTAGTCTATTGCCTTTGTCTCCATATTTGCTAATAAGTATACGCCTTGAAATAATGAAAATATATTGAACTTCATGAACGTAGGTGTATATATATGGAATTTGTTATCTAGATACTCTCAACAAATCGAAGTGATCCGTATATCTCTGACTTTACAATCTTTCGAAGAACAAATCAAAAACTTGAAAGGTCTCTGGTAACATTTCAAATTGACTCGTCCATGCATGATGGATTAGAGTACGGAAATGTTGAATTCTGACATATTATAGAAGAACTATTTGAAAAAAAAAATGCAAATTTTTTCACAGTTATCAAATTAGTGTACTGAAAGCTCTACACTTTTCTTGAAGTATTTTCTTTGGCTTGGATAATTAGTCCATGTTGAAAATTTAAACAATTCCACGGGAATCTTAGTCCAGAATCCACGACTGGCAATTCAGTGGCAGCGAGTAACATGAATTGAATGGGTTATATAAACAAAGCCTAATTATATGAAGAAAGTTCGATTAAATGATAATGAAAATTGAGTAATACCTAAATTTTTTTCTCAAAATATATTTCTTCCTACAAGCCCATAGGGTGACAAATTTTTTATTATATTCTACAAAGTGAACTAATCAGTTTGATTCTTTTTGTAAATATTGTTTTCGAGAGCAACCAAAGAGCTCAGTGGCGCTGTGGATACATGACATCTTTCGTTTAAAAAAAAAGTCAGTGGATCTTTCAAATTCCTCATCACTTCTCCTGATTACCAGAATCCTTAATAATTATAGTATATCTGTGATATATCCTCATAGGAGTTGAATTGGAAATGTCGTTATAAAGAAAAAAACTGTTCAGTTCCGAAATATTGTTGTGAACCATTCTGAAAACATGTAAAATAAATTATAAATCAGAATAACCATCGTGAGAATACGAACCTACACAATCTAGAGATCAAACAATACGCATAAATTATGTCATCACGAATAAAGAACAGGCTTTTGATTGGCTCAACAAACAAACACCCGAATAACGCACATTCCCTTGGCGAACTTTTTCTCGCGAATCTAGAACACATATTCGCAAAATTTGACGGGCCAGCCTTCATTACGCCAAATTTATGCGTTATTCTATTCCCTTTTGTTTCCTGAACTCACCCTCTTCCTGGTCTCGTAATCCAATGCTCCTGCCACATAAATAGCGCCTGTCATATTTTTCACTGCGAAAGCGCCTCCTATGTTACCGCTTGTGATCTCGTATCGAATACGGGAGGCTGTAACAATAAGAAAAACCGTATCAGATATTGCAACTCGTGTGATCATAGTAATAGTAATAATCTTTATTATACAGGGTGATTCATTAAGAATGGGAAATCTCTGAACTACAAATAGTAAACACAAGAATAATGAGATTTAGCCCATATGCCTCATGAGAATGTCATATACGTATTAATAACCAATACGGATCATAACGGGTGCCAGGATGAAGCCAAAAATATGAAACAAATGAATATCCATAAGGATTTGGTGGCATGATACGCATGCGCCATGCGCTATTATAGGATTCATCAAAGACATGCGTTTCGGTGGACAATGACGTTTACTAGCCTTTCAATCAAAGTAGTATGTGTCTGATCGTTTCAAAACTTTTCCTTATGGATAGTAATTTGTCTTCAAAAATCGGCTTCATGTTTCGCTATGGAAACAGATAGAGATTATCCGTATTGATTATTAATACGTATATGGAGAATGTTGCTGGTTTATGAGATAGAGAGTGTTCTAGGGGGAGATTTAATTTCAAAATATCACAATTACTTTGTTAGTTTCAACAGCATGAACGCATGAAATCTAGTATTTCTAGGTTTTGACATGAGGAATATGAATTTGCAACTTATAGTGGTACTCTTGTTACTTCGATAATTTACATCATATCTTCTATGTCAGTTCATTGATAGTTAAAATAAGTGGAAGATCTGAAAACTCGTTCAATTTCACATGCAAAATGTACTCCTTATCAAATTGTCTAGCTTCAACGGTTTTTGTGTTATTCGCTGTTGAAGAGATTCATTTTCCACTAAGACATTTTAATGATTTTATTAATTTAATTAAGAATGGGAAATCTCTGAACCACAGATGGTAAGCACCCAAATATGAAGATCTAGCCCAACATGCCTTATAAAATATTGCTGGTTTAAGAGATACAGGGTGGTTAAGGAGGAGATTTTATTTCAAAATATCTTCTCCATCCAAATTTAAGAAAAAAGTACACAAATTTAACCTGTTTTAGAACGGATATGCTCATTTATTTGGAAAACGGTTCGTTTCTTGAAAAAAGTTGAGAGGTAATGAAAGTCTCTGAATTGAACAAATCATATAATCCGGTGACTAGATGATGTTAGAGGGGTAATACGAAAAAGTTTGGGGGGATAAGGAAACCTTTACATTCAAAAATGAATCACTCTGTTGATTTTGAAAATCTTGAAAATGGTTGAAATAATGATCTTTTAGGAAGAAGGTACCTCACTGAATTTCAAATTGATAACTTCTATACTCTTTTATTTACAATAGAAGAAAAATAAAAGAATTGCGGCATTACAGGGGATTTCTTTTTTCTCTCGAGTCAACATATACATTTTCACTATCTGCAAAAATATACAAGAAGTAGCAAAAAGTGTATGAATTTGGAATATAACACCCTATAAATTTTCTCACCATTGAAAAGACCTCTCGAAGAGCCTTCCAAAAATACCGTAGTTTCAATAATAATTATTATCTTTTGAATTTTTAAATATTTGGGCTAACAAACTCCGATTGGTTTTGAATCATTTCAATGATTACAATATTCATTTTCAGTGATCACCACTAATGAAAATTGGTACCATTGGTAGCGATATAGCAAATATACATGAATTCGCAATCAATTTCATGACGTTTTTTTTTTGTAAAACATCCAAACATCGATGAAACTCTGTCAGTTTTGAATGCTCATGAATTGAGAGATAAAGAAGATATAATTCTATTGAGTGCAGTATTCTTGGAAAGCTCTTCAAGAGGTCTATCCAATATGATAAGGAGATATATTTGAAATTTGAACATTTTTTGCTGCCCTCTGTATATTTTCCTAGATAGTGAAAACTATAGTGAAACGAAGGAATAAAAATCCCCTGTCAGTCTGTTTGTTTTAATTTTTCTTCCACTGCTGAAAATTGAAGAGTTACAGCGGTTGGTACTTTATATCGTATGTCACTCGGTACAATATACCCTTCGTAACACCTTATTGGAACACCCTGTGTGAACCCAGTTAACACAAATTGATCCCAGAGATATTAGAAGGCATCACATTCAAGCCACACATCACATCCGTGACTCGAATTGAGAGTCACACTGAAATCACAATGACTGCTATCCCGGACCCTTTTGGTCTTTTTATGCCAAATGAAATATGCCATACGTATTAAGCGATTCCTCATTCAACAGCAAAATTGATTGATTGATTGGGTTTGTTATATAATTAGACAAGAATGTGAAGTTTCTGTGAGTCTCTTGGTTGTAAGGTAGCCTCACAAATTCACGTTCATTCTGAGTCTCCAATCCAATGAAATGTGACGCGAATGCGAATGTTTTTGAAAATACAGAGTCTCCTGGCAATACCAATGATGTTCTATTGTAATTCGCATTATTATCTAGTGAGACATGAATGTGACATCCCAAGGATGTATGTGTTTAATGAAAAAATCACCAAAAGGCGCATACGCCACTGTCTCAGGCAGGGATTCAGGATACAGAGTGCTAAAGTAATTCTAAATTTCGTGTACAATTCTACAAATCCATTACTGGCATTCAAGTCTGATAATGCCAGTACACGGTATGGGATGAATCTATTTCATTCGTTGTGTGTTACATATATGTTATATCCTTGGATTCTGAATAATCCTCGATTAATCCGGATCATCCTGCCAATTTGCGCGAATAACTCGTATTCGACAGGGCCGAACGCTCAGAAGGTTCGAAACGTTTATACAGGAAGCAGTGGAATTGGATTTTCTAATTGCGTCTGTTGTTCGAGTCCGAAGGTTGTATCGAATTGATTGCCGTTTACGTGAATATATGTTGACTAGTTCGACAATTATGTAATTTCTTCTCATTGAAACGGCAAATTTCGTATTTCAGGGGACTGTTTGTGAACTACTGTCGATCAGGATGTTTCGCGGAACCTCTTCGAAAGGTCTCACAGTCTATTTCCTATATAGACTTCGTGAATTTTCAAACAGCAAATGATGATGGTCCAGTGTACACTCATGATGAATGATTCATGAACCAAAATGGGCACTCACATTCCTTTGCAAGGTCAAAAAAGAGGACTTTAGCCTTTGGCGAACTAATACATTACATGAACAAGAACGAAGTATGTGTTTCAACATTTCGGTCGCGTTGTTGCAATACCATCGCCAATATTTTTGAGATGGTTCCTCAGAGGGCAGTGTCATGTCATGAGAAAGCTGTGAGACTGAGAAGATTCTTGGCCCTGTTTTGTAAAGGGTCTTTGACCTGGCGTTGCAATTTAGTAGGAGGACTTTTCAGCCTCTTCTAATTTCCTCAACTCCGCCATTGATAGACATTTGCTTACCCCACAGAAAGGCCAAGGACCAAAGAATGCAGACTGTGCAACTTTTTTCTTATAGGAGATCAGGTAATTCCTTTTTATTCATTCATTCTCTGGGACTCACATAAGTGTGCCTTCATTGGGTTTTCACAGTTGTATCAGTATTTCAAAGCCATCATGTAATTTGCTCAGGCACCTTTGAGCGCATGGGTTAATGGTATGTATTTAAGTCTGGAATATGGTGGGGTAGTGACCATAGGCTTCAGATAGCCTAAATCTGGGTCCATGAACACCAGAGCCTATCCAAACACCAAACAAGGAACACTCTGTCCAGCCGAGGTTCATTGGCACTGACCACTGCACATGCACAGTCAAAACTCAGCCTGGCTAGAAAAAGGTCCCATTTTCACTGAAAATCCTGTTGATGAAAATATGCAAGGCAAGTAGATCAAGCATAGCTTCCATTGTTGCAGTGGGACACGTAGGTATTGCCACTGTAATGTAATGGCATGCGAATCTCTGGATTTTTCTTCAGCTTATGTCGTGTTATTTTTTTCCTACTCTTGGTACATCATTCTAGAGGAGCGGATGTGACCATAGGCCTAACCAACGTGAGGTGTGACCAGTAGATCATTCTCTTTTGTTTTTTTTATGTTTTGGTTCCCACGAAAAAGGATATCCTGTGATGTTCAGAGAACATCGTGAGGACCAAGGGAAATAAGGTAGGAATTGGTGTTCTTCTCAAATTTCTGGAGATTATATGCCTCGGGAAACACCTCCCTTGGCGATGTGTTCCAGAGCCTCGCAGTTCGTTGAATGAACGAATCTTTGGAAAGAGATGTTCTGCAGGTCTCCAAAGTGACCACGAAGGGGTGCGAAGTCTCAACTCGACGGGTTCATCTCGCGGGGACTGCCAAGGGAGGAACAATTGTTGATATTTCAGAAGAGCATCGTCCATGAAAAGATCTATAAAATAAAGCCAGATCGCCAACTTTTATACGGTGTTCCAGAGAAGTGAGTGAGTTTGTGAGCGAGGCATCACCCACGAGACGAATGGCCCTTTTTTGGACAGAATCCAACAGTTTCAGGGTATGTTTGACCAAACATTCAAATATCCATAGAGCTGAGACTGCCCAACTGACGATTTTGGTCAGGAATTGGTTCCACGTGAGATATTTGTCTAGCATTATTCCTGGATATTTGACATCTCCAAAGAAATTAAATTGGCGTCCAATCCTTTATGGGTTACTTTAGAGATGTTTGGAATCTGTTTCACTCATTTCAGGATGTCAGTTCCAGAGCGTTCGTAGAATGATTGGCAAAAATCGTAATTATTGCTTTCGATATCCCCTTATCCCCATCAAATCTATCTTCTTGGACAACTTCAATAGCATCCGAGTAACAATTACTTGTTTCTCGGGAAACTTTTCAGTTTGAGCCTTCTCGATTTTGATTAATGCATACATCCGCCATTGATTCGAAAGAGTTGCTATGCTTTTAACGGAAGTCTGTGCCGATAAAGTTTCGATGGGGATTTCGCAAGAATATCCGAGGAGTCTAATGGTGATTCGGATCCACGCTCCACGCGGAATTTATGATTGTGTTTAACAAAGAGGATGGGTTTTTTGTCGACTGCACTTATAGGTGCTCTCGAAAACGAGGAATGACACA